TTTTTTTTTAATTTTATTCATTTTTGAGAGACAGAGACAGAGGGTAAGCTGGGGAGGGGCAGAGAGAGAGGTGGACACAGAATCCAAAGCAGGCTCCAGGCTCCGAACTGTCAGCATGGAGCCCGATGCGGGGCTTGAACCCACGGGCTGTGAGATCGACCTGAAGTCAGATGCTTAACACAGACTGAGCCATCCAGGCACCCTCTTAATGTATTCTTTAATGGTATCTGTGCCTGCGGGGGGTGTCCTCTATAGATTTTAAGCAGTGACCATGCTTTGTAATTCATTTGTATTACCTAGAATGCCTTCTGGCCCTTAAATTATTTCCAGAGTTACTTGGGGCAGGGGATGGATTATTGCCTGTTCTTATACATTTACTCTTGTAGATGAACTTCAGAATGAGATTGTCACAGCCTCACCCTACTCCTACCTTCATCAGAAGCAAACTCTGGTGGGAACCTATCCAAGTTCTACTGAATATACTTTTGGGTAGACTTGGCGTCTTTGTAGTATTTAGCCTTCCTGCCCAAGATTGCGGTATGATATGTTTATTTATTCAGGTCTTATGTTATGCCCTTCTTGTTAAATTTATTGCTGGTTGTGAAAGAGGCCATTTTCCGTTCCAATTTTTAAATGACTGTGGCCAGGAGAGTAAGAAGTAATTGATGTTCCTGTGTCTGGACGTGAATGTCTTATATTCTGCCACCTTATTGAGTCCACTTTTTAGTACTCTATTCTTTCTTTTTCTTTCCTGATTTTCCTTCCCAGGGTTTTCTTCTTCCACCTGCTTCTGAAAGCATCTCTACCTGGACATCCCAAGAATATCTAAAGTTCAGAATAAAACTGAAATTAACTAAGTTACAGTTAAAATAATGTGTCTGTGCTCTTAGGTTCAGAACTGCTCACTGCTAGCTCTTGAGACACCTTTATAAATTGAGAGAAGATGCCCCCTTTCTCCTGACACATGACTCTTATCTCCTGGGGAGATTGCCATACCTAACTGATTCCGTCTGAATATGACGCATGACCGCAGAAAAATGTCATAATGAATCTGCAGGTGTCTGGCGTCTCCTGTGTCCGGGCTCTCTTAGACGAGGTGCATTCAGGCAGTCTCGGCTGCAGAGGCATTCTTGTAGCACTGCTTATATTTTATTTTATTTTTATTTTTATTTTTTATTTTATTTATTTTATCTTATTTTATTTTATTTTATTTTTTTCAACGTTCATTTATTTTTGGGACAGAGAGAGACAGAGCATGAACGGGGGAGGGGCAGAGAAAGAGGGAGACACAGAATCAGAAACAGGCTCCAGGCTCTGAGCCATCAGCCCAGAGCCTGACGCAGGGCTCGAACTCACGGACCGCGAGATCGTGACCTGGCTGAAGTCGGACGCTTAACCGACTGCGCCACCCAGGCGCCCCTATTTTATTTTATTTTTAATAAAAACGTTTATTCTTGAGAGAGACAGAGACCGTGCGAGCAGGTGAGGGACAGAGAGAGAGGGAGACAGAATCCAAAGCAGGCTCCAGGCTCTGAGCTGTCAGCACAGAGCCCCGACGCAGGGCTTGAACTCACAAACTGCAAGATCATGACCTGAGCTAAAGTTAGACGCTTAACTGACTGAGCCACCCAGGTGCCCCTTTGCAGTGCTGCTTAGATCTGTAGATTTTGTCTTTGCTGCCTCAGTTTACCTCATTATATTTCACCTCTCATCACAGGACAAGTTCCGCCACCCCACCCACCGCCAAAAAGACAAAAACAAAGTAAAACCCAGTCGTCCTCTTCCCAGCCTCTCTGTTCCCACTCTAGTCACAATCCAGAATAACCTTCCTGAAGCATCAGGAAACCCCTGCCTGAGGCCTTTGATGGTTCCTTGTTTTGCTCAGAGTCAGATGTGCTTCATGCCCTGGAAGCCCGCATCATGGCCTTCCTCCGCAGCTACTTTTCTCGTTTCCCCCGCCACCCCCTCTGTGCTCTTCCCCAGATGGGAACTCATGGTTAGCGCCTGTCTCCTGTCACTCTCTGTTTGCTCATCTGTAAAGGGAGAATAGCGCTGCCTCCTCAGTAATTCTACGGCAACAGGTAAATGATACAGCACGCGATGGTGACCAGCACCGGGCCTGGCACTTTCCACTTTCCCCTTCCTTCCCTCTCCCTCGTGAGGATTTTGTAAACTGAAATGCTGTATAATTATAACATGTTTAGATTATTTATGCCTCACCGTATGTCCATTACCCAAAGTTCTTGTATTTAGGCAGGAATTCATATTTGACCTCTAATCAGGAACATTTGAAAATATTCCAGAAGAAAAAATAAGGATAACTTTGCAGCCTCAGTGTGCCACCAAAACAGGTGCCATTGAAGGGTTCCCGGGTGTCCTTGGAGGCCCCTGGCAGGCTTAAGGATGCAGCATTGTCTCCTGGCTGTGACAGTCTGTCCACAATTAAGGCAGGTGAGGAGGGGAGGTGACAGCCTCCTCAAGGAACACAGGATCTGTCTGCAGGAGATGGAGGGTGTTTGGAGGGTCCTCAGGAGACGTGCTGAGAACAAACACAGTCCTTCCCTGGTGGAGATTTCCTCCGCCCCGCTACTACTGCCTTAAGAAAACATGGAAAAAGCCCTTGCTGCCGGCCACAGCAAATGTTTTCTGGTTAAGAGTCATTTTCCAAGTGTGTTTATTGGTTCAGAGAATTGATTTCATTTCAGCCCCATTTGGTGGTCTGTTTATCTTTTGTTCTAGGCTTTCTCCCGATTCGGTTTCCATTGGGTTTTAATCAGAAACCATCTGGTGAAAGCATTTTGGATCCAAATTAGAGTTTATCATAAGAACAATCTCCAAGAACACAGATGAAACCCAGAGTGGAACAGAACACAAACAAGAAATAATGCAATAACACTATCAACAGAACAGTGTCAGAGGGAGGGAGGAGGAGGAGAGGGAAACTGAGAAGGGATGTGTAGAGAGGGAGTCAACCCTTCAGAGGAGGACCAGCCAGGGATAGGGGGTGGGCAGGCAACTAGCACTCACATCAGGGGCTGGTGGGCCCTTCTTCCCTTGCTGACCAACCTGCAGCCCTTGGAGGGGTAGAAACCATGGTTAGTAGCCCTTACCCACTTCTGAGCCGGGACAGAGCGCTGTCTGATGGGCACATGCAACTCACTTCGCTCCAGAGATGGGCCCCTGAAATGTCCCGTCTCCTCTCCATCCCTTCTCTCTGCACCCTTTTCTTGCTCTCCCTTTCCCAGAGTCATCCTGGCCTCCACTTGGAGAAGACACGCAGTGGGGCTCATCACTGATGATGGGACCTTTGCCGGCCCCTCCCCCAAGTGCTGTAGACTTTCAGACGCTTGGGTCACGGGTTAGAAAACAGTGGAAGATTTACCTCTCCAGCCCCACGTCACTGAATATACCAACTGGTCGACGTTGCTGCTTTGACTTAGGAGATACATATACGTGTTAAAAAAATATTTTCTGTAAAGTATAGAAGATTATAAAGAAGAGCATAACCTCTCCTTCCTACCCCATCCCCTGTGCCCTCTGCCCCTTCCTCAGAGGCTACCTACTTCATATGTATCTTTTCAGAGGTCACCAGTGCTTATCATTGTTAGCTTTTAAAAATTACTATTATATCTCTCCTTTTTGCTTTCACTGCTGAGGCTACTAGATTTACCTGCTGTGTTCTTCCTGTATCTGCCTTCTCCACTTCCCTTCCTGTCGCAGACTTTGACTCTTGGTGGGCAAACAGTTGTGAGCAGAATGAGTCGAACCCCATCCCTGCCAACTGCAGTGGCTGTGCTCAGAAATTACCCCTCAAGGTGATGCTCCTGGAAGACACCCCAAAGAAATTTGAGAGACTCCATCCTCTGGTGATCAAGGTGAGCAAGGAACGCGCTTCTCCCCCTGACAGATGATCTGTTCGATGCCCAGAAGGCAGCAAGCTCTGTGACATTCCTGATAAGTAATTCTGTGTTATTTTGTCTCGCTCTTGTCCGCCTTGCAAGACGGGCCAGCTCTTGCTGCCAGAGGAGCTTCAGCATTTTTTGTGCCAGTACCCCGAGGTGGCGGAGGGCTTCCCCGAAGGGCTTTTCACCAAGTGGTGGCGCTGCCTTCCTGAGCGGTGGCTCCCATTTCCTTATCCATGGTGAGTGCGGGAAAGGGCACTTAGTCTGTGTGTGGTGGCAAGGGGGCAGACCGAAGGTCCAAACAGTACCCCTGAGACCCTCCCATGCCCCGCACTGTGTGAACACTCTCCGGTACCCTCTTTGAGTCAGACAATACTCAGGAGCTCGCTGTTGAAAAACCAGTGATGGGAGATAAAGAGGATGAAGTCGAAGAGGTGCCTTGGAAGGGCTGTCGCCACGAGTGGACACCGACATTGCCTAATAGCATCACAGATTATCTCTGCGCATGTTTTTACGCAGAATGCCTCCTGAGCATCGGAGGGCTAACGAGAAAGCCTGAAGAATGGAAGGGAAGCTTCATTTCCTGGCACCTTGTTTGTGCCAGGCAGTGTGGCATGGTGGTTAGTGCCTGTTGCTCATTGGTGATGCTCATAATAGCTCTAGGAAGTAGGAATTATCATTGTCATTTTCAGATCAGAAAAGTGGGGATCAGAGAGGTTAAGTACCTTGCTTAAGGTCACCCAGGCAGGATTGAAATGCAGGTCTGTCTTCCCATTTCTTCCTGTGTCCTATAGAAGACATGGTCTGTTTTTTGGGGTGAAGGTTTCTGTCTAGAAGAAAAGAAAGCCAGTTTCCATCTAGAACCATTCCAAAAGAGAATTAAAATGGCTTTTTTTGGACCTTTTTGTTAGATAATTTCTCAATGCTTTTGTCTTTCTTAAACCTTTATTTGATTTCTTACTTATGCATTGATTTGCATGATTGAATACTCAACTTTAACTAGTCAGGCCTCCCACCGCATGCCACAGCGCCTTAGGTTCATGATTTTTGCCCGTTCCTCCTCCCTTCTGTTCTCCCGCCTGGCCTGTTACTTCAGTCTCTTTTCCAAGATAGAATGAATGGACCGTTTATTTCCTTCCTCTATATGTTGTTTTAGCTGGATTTTATAAACATCCCACCCACACGTACAAATCGTGGCTGTGGAGTTGTGTGTGTGCTTGTGCATGTCACAGTTAATTGATTTGGCATGACTGTTCCTCATGAACCTGATACTTAAGATATTGTCCTGATATTTTTCCCTCGTTACCCACCGCCCACAGTTTTCCCACCGTGCTTAGCTCTGTTAGTCATGGAGATAGAGGCCGGCTTGCCCAGCTGAATTACTTCTGTCTCTTCCAAACTTTTACAGGAGAAGACCTCTAAACAGATCACACATTTTACGTGAGCTTTTTCCTGTTTTCACCTACCTGCCATTTCCAAAAGATGCCTCCATAAAAAAGTGCTTCCTTCTTCAACCGGAACCTATTGTGGGTAGTAAGGTAGGACATTTTGAGAGGACTTGGGTCGAGGCTTTTCCTCACTTAGCCCCGGGGCTGATGTCATAATCCCTTCCTTCCCTACGTGTCAACTCAGGGTGACTTGAAGGGACATCCACATGACCTGAAGTTCTCTGCCTGTTGCTTGCCAGGGGACCTGGTGTGGCCTGCCCTGTTATGAAGGCATGCTTAAAGTCTAGTTACCTTGCAGATCTGTTTCCTGCTCTAGACACTTGGGGGCAAGCTACTTTTCTACATTAGGAAGTAGAATCCTAAAATTTGAAAGGACCCAAGCATGCAGTTAGTCTGAGTTCCCTACCTCAAAGTGTAAAGCAGGCAAACCGTAAATGAATGCCCCAACTTACTCATTTTGTGTCTAGGGACACTGAGCCCCAGAGAGAGTAATGATTTGCCCAAGGACACAGGAAGTTAATAGGAGGGCTCTACCCACCCAATTCCCAGGTTGGCTTTCCCCAGAAATAAACAAATAAGAAACTTCGGGTAGAGAACTAGCTAAGCAGAAAGCTTGAGAGGTTTGGGGACAAAAGGGTTGATGGGCACGTGCCCAAGGCAGGCAGACTAGTTTGGGTGGCAACACTTCTTGCTCAGTCCATGGCCAAGTACCCAGAGCCCACTTTTACCCCTCTGGGGCGAGTGGACTGGGTAAAAGCCGTTCTGAGTTGTGTCTGTTTACTTTTCTCTGAATTGCCCTTTTGTTGAGTCTCATTCCTGAGGACCGTTTTTGAGTTTGGATTGGTTTGGAAGAATTAAAAGGATGAAATTTCCCAAACTGTGACCCCTACCAACTCCGGGTTGTGTTTTCAACCTCCCAATACTATTGTTTGGCTCCAGATTTGCTGAATCGTGTTAAAGGAATTTCAAAGCCTATAAAAACAATCATTTTGTCTAGGAGTGAGAACTTCTGTCTGCCAGCAGTAGGGTGGAGGTGCTGGGATCTTGCCTCAGATTTTAAAGACGTTTATTCTGCTGTCCCCAGCTAGAACTCCGGGCCCCAGTATGATTTCATCTTCATAATTATGATACAATTTGGGGCGAAAGCTTTTATCTTTATCTTGGTTTTCCCACTTGAATCTGAAGTTAATTTCACCAGTCTGCTTAACAGGGACTCCGAGGAACCCCGCCAACAGGGTAAATACTAAGTTACTCAGACGCCTATCAGAGTCATCTTGTGGTTCGCAAGCATGTTTTGGGAAGGGGAGTGGTCCAAATAGGCAAAAATCCTGAGAGTCTGGTTTCTTAGAGCATCTGCTCCCCGCCCTGGCCCAGGCTTTCCTTTTTCTTCAGCCTTGTTACTCCGCCCTGTTGTCCACATCCCTGGGCCCCTAGACCCTGGTAAAGTCACATGTCTGTGCGCCTGGGATCCCAGAGGCAACCTTAGAATAGAAGATGAGAAGTGGGGTCTGATTGCAAGAGGCGAGGCACTGGGGAAAGAGGTGAAGGGCTCCAAGGCCCACCTCACCCAGTCCACGGTGTTGCCCAGGGCTGGCCTGCTCCATCCTGGTGTCCATTTCTTCCCATCCTGGGTGGGGAGGAACCTGGTTCTGCCCCCTCTCGGGCCTGTATGAAAAAGAGATACATCCACTTGGTTTTGGTCTTCTGGAATTTCTTCAAGACCGCAGATGTCAGGGCTTCTGCCAGTCATTTGCAAGCCAGTAGTCCTCCTTAGTTAGTCTTCCTTCTGTCATGACAGTGGCAGTTGAATGGCTCTAGTGTTGCCATGGAAATGGAGTCGTGGCCACGGCCTGCTCTGAGAGCAACAGAGAGCCCAGGGTTGGAGACACAAGAAGATGGAGCTAAAACCAAACCTCTGGAAGCCCAAGTGGTGAAGAGAAAATCAGGACACGGCCCAGGGAGTCAGACTTCAGACCCTTGCGCTATGCGGACACAGAAAAGCTATTCCTGGAGGGGACAGGGAGGGGAGGTCCTGAAGGTTTTCTCTCACCATCTAGGTAGGAAGAGGAGCCTGAGCAAGGTCAGCTTCTCCCTTTGTCCCTACTCCCTGCCTACCCCAACACCACCTTTGCAGCTGTTCCTGGCACACAGCAGGTTTCCCTTAATGCCTACTGGCGGCAGTGGTATCCCTCATGGTGCAGTAGTTACCTGTGGGCGTGCATAGCCCAGTTGTCTCCTTGGTATTCAAACTCTGAGGCCAATCTTACTGTCACTACTTTTTAGTCAGTAGCAGGATAGATCTGCTCACCTAGGTCTTGCCCGAAAGAGTGAACTTGAACTTCCTGCTGTTCAATTCTCATCAAAACTCTGGCAGTAAGAAATAATATCCTAGAAATGATACTACGTTGCCCAAAGGATATGCAGACCGTCTTGTTTCTCTAAAAAATTCCAGCTGGAGTACCTGGGTGGCTCAGTTGGTTAAGCGTCCAACTTTGCCTCAGGTCATGGTCTCACGGGTCGTGAGTTCGAGCCCCGACTCGGGCTCTGTGCTGACAGCTTGGGGCCTGGAGCCTGCTTCGGATTCTGTGTCCCCCTTCTGTCTCTGCCCCTCCCCCACGCACACTCTGTGTCTCTCTCATAAATAAATAAATATTAGAAAAATAAAAAAAATAAAAATCTGGCTCACACCAGACCCTCAGAAGATTGTATACTTAGACCACTATGTGTTGGCCTCTGCTAGACTTCTGTTAAAATGCACTGAGATGATTTGCCTTTAGCCTACTTTGGAGCTGTGGCTAGAAGTAGTCATGAATTACGAAGCTCGTGCTAGATCTACATTCGGGCTATTTGTTGAGGATGTCTCTTTAGGAGAACCCACAGAAGAGATTTCACCCTGGTCTCAAGATCAGGAGATGCCACGCTTACGAGAAACTAGTTTGTTTTTGTCTTTCGGACATAATCGCGAATTGTGTTATTGGTTCTGTTTTCTTTGTTGCTTAGGCTGGTATGAAACTCAGAGCCATATATAGACAGATTTGTGTACGTTCATCTCCCGTGCCACTGGGTTTTATTTTGTTTCCTTTTCCTTCCTCTTCTTCCTTGTTTTTTTTTTTTTTTTCTCCTCTCCAGATGCATAGAATGCATGACCTATTTATCATTGGCAGCGGCGAGGCCATGTTGCAGCTCATCCCTCCCTCCCAGTGCCGAAGACACTGCCAGTCCGTGGCGATGCCGCTAGAGCCAGGGGATATTGGTAGGTGGGGCCCCCAGGGGGCAAGGTCAGTTTCAGGATCTTTGTAGTTTTTAACTCAGAAAATATTCTAAGAATTAAATATTGCCTTCAGAAAGCTTCAATTAAATAGAGTCAAAAAGAGCATTCCTTTATGGACAGAGTCAGTATTTATGCTCGGTAGAACAACTAATAAGGAAATGTAGCAGAGAAGGGCCTCGTTTTGTATATATTTAGAATATGCGATGTGTTCCATTGGTCTTAGAAACTTCAAGTTAGAAGGCATTATAGAAAATGTTTAAGGGCACCTGGGTGACTCGGTCGGTTGAGCGTCCAACTGCAGCTCAGGTCATGATCTCACGGTTCGTGAGTTCGAGCCCTGCCGAGAGTGCAGAGCCCCCTTCAGACCCTCTGTCTCCCTCTCTCTCTGCCCCTCCTCCACTCATGCTCTCTCAAAAATAAACATTAAAAAAAAAGAAGCAAATCTTTAGAGCAATCCTTTATTTTACAGATGAGGAGAGATTGAGACCCAGAGAGGAGAGGTGACCATCCCAAGTTCCTCCCATCACCTAGGCAAAGCATCAAGCTTTAAGTGTCTCCTTCACCAGGGGCAGGCCAGGGGAGGTACAATTCTAGATTTGAGGAAACCCTCTCTGTGTCTCTTTTGCTAATAACGCAGTGCGAGCAGTATGTAAGGGCAATGACCCCATGAGGAAATATTCCCTTCCGTGTGGGTCCCACTGCCAAGTCATAGCCTCACAGTCATGACTCACCGTTGGCTCCATGATTTCCCAACTGTGGCTTATTCTGTGCATTATATTCTAAAAATCCTTTCCAAAGAAACAAGTTTGAATCAACTGCTGTCCGTAGCAATCAGTTTGACAGTAGAGTTTTCTTGGCGGAAGCAGATAGTAAGTATCACTATTGCCCTCTGTGTTTTTCCTGCCTCACAAAGCCTAGGGGGAAGCCTAGGGTCCCTGACAGAGCCCAGACTGGTTTCCCAATTGATTTCTTTTAATTTTACCTCTTTAGAAGACCCCAGTCCCTGGAAACCTTTCATCCATTTGGAAGTAGGATACAGACTGCAAACCATGACAGGCTTTAATCCATGTTACATAACTTATTTCAATGTAGAAATGAAAATCATGCACAAATTAAGCGTTAACTGATAATGGAGCACAGCTGGCCTGGCCCCTGGGAATTACTGCAAAGAAGAGGATTTTTGTGTAGAAATTGTTTTTGAAGCTATTTTCCCGTAGCGGAGTGACCCTTCCATGAGGCATGTCTATTGCACAAGCCTGTATGGATGGCATTTGGGCTTGAGAGTGCGTAGTTATGCTTGAAAAAGTCTCTGTCTTATGTTCTGCAAATGCCAGACAGTTCAGACAACTACAGAAACACCTTAGTAATCCAAATTTTAGGTTCCTGGATCCCACAAACCTCTAGAATGCCAATTAAAGAATTGGGGGGAATAAATGGATGGCTGGCAGTGATCAAAGAAGCTTTGAGCATCAAAGGCTGGTGGGAATAGCAATGAAAAGCCGAAAATCCGGAGCATGATAACCTGCCGGGCTGTGACTGGCCGGCTTGCTGACGAGAAGGAAAGGAGCCCTGTGGGCATGAAAGGCCAGCCGCAGGACAGCAACGTGGAGAAGGGATGGGGAACTGACTACAACAAGAGGGAGAGGGCAGGTCTGGGAGAAGAACGGGGTAGGGCCGGCTGGGGAGGACAGTGAGCTTCTGAAGCAGTGGCAGAAATAGACGCGGTGGCTGCGGCTGCCACAGTTAAAGATGAGCACAGGAAGCGGACCCTGACAGCAAAGGAGAATAATTCAGTGCTTGTAGGACAGCTGGCAGCTCTAGCATTTTGGGGGGCCCTAAAGAATGGCACTGTGATAAGTAGGTTCTATGGTTTTTGCCGAAGTAAGCATTGTCCTCTGAAGGCAGACAGGAAGGGGACAGGAATACACATCACCAGAAAACCTGTGATGAGAAGCATTTTCAAGAATGCTTCATCATCCACCTGCCGTGGTTGATGAGTCACTGCCCATAGTGGCCTTTCTTTCTTTCTTTTTTTTATTTTTTTATTTTTTTAATGTTTATTTTTGAGAAAAAGAGACCGTGTGAGCGAGGGAGGGGCAGAGAGAGAGGGAGACACAGAATCCAAAGCAAGCACAGATGCGGGGCTCAAACTCATGGACCGCAAGACCATGATCTGAGCCGAAGTCGGACGCTTAACCGACCGAGCCACTCACGCACCCCCATAGTGGCCTTTCTTGAGTCACTAAGTAGAGGTTAAATTCTGTTCAGTGCTCTCAATTTAATGATGGGTAAGGTATGTCGCACTCTAGATAATTTTCCATCAGGAGTTTATTGAAGTGTTCCAAGTTTTTAAAGCTTTTAAGTCTACCTTCCTACTCCACTCAAATAATGTAGGGTCAGTGTTTCCTAAACAGTTCTTCAGATCACTGATGACCCTAGGGATGGGAACAGGAGCCCCTTAGAAAAGCCCTTGGCAAATAGGGCTGTTGGATCAGTTGATTTGGGGAACTGCCTGTCTTGTGATTACATAGTGCACATTAGTGTACAGAAGTCTCCAGAAGCCTTAGAGGAACCTAGTGTTTCTCAAACTTTCTCAAACTTCCTTGACCATGGAACCCATTGGACTATCCTAACAGCATGTTACTATTTGCAGAACACAGTTCAGGAAGTGCTGGTCTGAGCGATTCTGGATGTTCTATAATGAGGCCATGTGACCGATAACATTAGGAGACTTGGATGGGGGGGTCCTCCTTCCCTCAGAACTCATCGTATCTTCTTGCCATGAAAGATGAGATGGGTCTGAGAATTGATGCCCAGCACCAGCCTCATCTAGAGCATCTTGCTTTTGTAAATCTACTGAGTTGTGAGTCATAGTTAGCCAGGTGAGTGGTGGTGATGAAGCACTTGGGTTCGTAGTGGCTCCCATTGGACATCCGGTTACAGAGAGGACCAATAACGGCATATTTATGCCAGGCAGACCTGCCTTGTTCGTGCCCACAGGTGTGCCCAGTCCCTGCCATTCACCTGCTTTCCTGTTGCTGTTTCCCTTCAAGGCTATGCCGGTGCCACCCACTGGAAGGTCTACGTTACAGCCAGAGGGGTCCAGCCTTTGGTCATCTGTGATGGAACCACCCTCTCAGAACTATAGGAAACAAGAACTGTACAGAGGAACAACTTTGAGGTCCGAAGACCAGATCGAAAGGGGAGAAATAAAAACAGAAACGAGGAAACCACTTTCTAAGGTTACTTAGTTATCTGCCCTATGCATGCGTGTATGAGCCAGCTGTATGCTGGAGGCAATGGCCAGAGCCTGGCCCTCCCGACTCTTCCAGCCTCCCTGCTTGGCCCCAGGATTTTGCCGGTACCTGTCTGTGAGAGACTGGGCTCTTCCACACCTTCTGGAACCGCAGCCTTGAGGCTGCCCCTCAGGCAGGAAACAGGGCTAATGCCTTCCCTTACTTGTGTGGTGTGATCCCCTCTGCTGGCTCCCTGGCCACAGAGAGGGTAGCCAACAGGTCCTGACTTCAGGGCCATCCCTTACGAGGTGGGCCTGCTTGTCCTGTCTTCCTGGCCACACCACCCGATACTTTTATGGAAAGCCATGGTCAATTAAAGAAGCTGTTGCAGTTTCCCAAGCAGAATGGAATCTAGAACCAAGATTAAGTAATGTCATTGCACTCAAGAGATGCACTGCCTTCCCAGTGTCCATGGCCCTTGGAGTCTCAGTGATGTCAGGTTGGAGTCTGATTATAATTGAAATGGTAATTGCCGAAGTAATACTTTCCTCCATCTCATCAGGTTCTCATGCCGGCCCCCCCTCCCCCACACCCCCACCCCCAG